TGCCTGAAAAGTGTCAAACTTTGGGGTTCACCTTACATTACTAGCCCAATAACAGCTTAGTATTGTGGTGAAAAATCTTTCTGAGTGTATTGTATTGCAAAAGATTTCCAGCATTTCTCTCGAGAAGAGGAAATCCAGTCTCAGGGTGGTGTTTTAACTCTCACTTAACTCAGCTGTGGTTCCAGCAGCATAAACACTCATAGGACCATGAGTAGGAGGCTAAACAGACACCCTCTCTTTTCCCACTCCCATGCTGTATGGCTTGCACTGCTATGCATCTCCCTACCAACACATCTCTTCCCTTTCTAGGTTTCAGCCTGCACAAGAAAACCTGGACATGGATCAGAAAACAAATTATTCTTGCAGTGGCCTGAGTTTGTATGTTCATTAAATAACATTGCTGCTAACTCAACTGCAGAAGCACTTTCAAGAAACCCTTCTCTCCTTTTCCCACCCTGTACAGCTGTCCTATACAAAATAATATATAAAAAAAAATATCAAACCTCAGTGGGCTGGACTCTACTGCTGGAGTAACCACATAGAGGATGGGGGGACTGCAGCATTATCAGCATATTATCCCTTGTTATCCAGAATAGGCTATTCCCTGATTCTTCAAACAGGATTTTCCTGTTACTGCGCGTGGGCTGGGAGGTTTAACTACATTCTGACTCTTCTTACTGCTATGATTGTTGTTGTCTCCCCGAAATCTTTATGGATATTGAGCAAGGAGGCATAAACCTGCTCAGGAGAGTAGTATCGGTGCTTGGCAAACCCAATCTTTCTAAGAGACAGCTGTCATCATCACAAAACAGCCAAGTGAGCTACCACCCCACTCAACCCTTTACATTAAGGAACAGTTTTTGACTTAAGCCTATTTTGTATCTTATAAGAAGATTAAAAGAATTAAGGAGAAACCAAGTGACCTTTTCAGTCCATTTAATATTAAGCATATGACACACAGCTTTGTCTTATATAGGGCCAGAATAAGCAGAAGGACATAATGATTATATACTTGTTATGCTGCTCTTGGGAACTCCCAAACTGGAATGCCCTGCCTGCATCCATCTCCAGAGGATTTCCAAAGCTTCGTAATTACATACACGTGCCACCAGCTACAGTTCCTGGAAAAAAAAATCCCATTTTTGTTATAGCAGAGCAATTACTTCAGTATACTAAAGAGGAAAGCTCTCTTGGCTGTGCTGCAAAGATTTTGAGGAGTTGGGAAGGGGCACGTAAAGCCATGGTACCCCTGCAGACCCTGCCCAAGGGGTCCTGCACAAGGTCCTCATGAATCAGCACCAACGGTGGCATACTGGTGTGGGGGACATGGAAGGGATGGAGAATGTGGCCTTGAAAGAGGTGCCCTACAGCAGATCTGTGCCTGACAGTCTGTTCCCCAAGGCTGCAAGACAAAGTGATAGGAGCATGATGACTTCTTCCATGCTGGTAGCGCCTGAAGCCCTTGCCTTTCCCTCAGTAAATGGCAAACTAAGTTCAATCTTTTTGAGGACTCCATAGACACTACAGTAAAACAACTCACTGGCTGACCTGAATGGGAATGATTACAGAAGTATTCAGAATGTTCTTTTTCACAACCATCATAAAAGTCCTAGGCTAATTCCCAAGTGCTTCTACAATCCATTTGCCTGAGTTGCTAGTAGGAAAATAGCTCCAACTACAGTTTATCTGCATGGTATAGGAACATGTAGCTGTCTAATATCCCTATCTGCTTGCAGCACTGTGCTGGTTCAAAATGTACATACAGTAAATATTGTCAATCATAAACAATCCATAATGAACTAATAAACTGTCCTCTTTAGACTGGGAGTAGCTGGCATATTGGGATATACTGTGAGAATCAGCATTTGGAGATGTGCCAAGTGAGATGGAATTGGGGCATCTTACTGGCCTGGTCACCACCAGTTCTTCCTTTAAGCTGGCTTTCTATATGATAATACCATGTTTGGGTATCTTGGCATACTTCTAAACATATGTAGACCAAACATAAAAGTCACATATTTCTGTGTCTAATGCTGTGGAATTCAATGCTGTGAAAGGAGACAGAATCTAGCCCCATAATAAAACTGACCCATGATAATCCAAATATATATATATATATACACACACACATATATATATTATATTATTTAGGCTGCAATTTCAGTTAAGTCCATAAATTTGCAGGTTTAAATCATCCAGTCACCAAGTAAATATAGCAGATAAGCAGAATATATATGTATTGATGAGCTGGTGAGCTGCAACAGAACTCAGAAGCAAGCAGGAGCATTAGTAGGTTGCTCAAATAAAATCTTTTTAGATTCTCTCTATCTGCATTTTCTTCCTGATAGCAGAAGTTCTGGCTTCTTCTTTTGCCTTTTCCCCCTAGCTGCTTCCATCACAGGAATAAGGAAGTATTAAAGTTTCACCCACACTATGTGAAACACTACAGAATGCACGCACTAGCTCATAAAGAGATAGAGGAGCAACAGATATGCTTTGTTGAAGTTTTGGATCTGTGTTAGAAAGGACCCCATGCTGGAAACTGTGCAGAGATACCAGCATTTAAAAGGGCAAAAATCGCAGTGATTAATTAGCCCAACAGGTTAGCTCTGCTGAGGTGCTTTAGAGTCCTTCTCCTTTGCCTTGCTCTTTTATTGCTCTTTACCTCTGTACTCACCTTCCGTAAATGTGAATGATCAGAAGAACAACTTGATGCTTCCAGGCCAAAGTTTAGCAATGGGTTTACATTCAAATCTCTATGTTCTGCAGTTTGGTTTTGTCTTGTAAGCGTGCACATCAGTACACTAAGAACAGAGCAGGGGAGCAGCCTCTTCAGCAATTAACTAAGGAATTCACATTATAATCCTACAAGATACCTAAAGGCAGGCACATCCTCATTTCAGAGGTCATAAACATTTATAATTATATTAACAGTTAAGTCAGCAGATCTGAGATGTTCTTACTTCCAGTTTTCCCTCAAAACAATTGTTCCAAAACACAAAGCTCTTAACATCAGATTTTGTTAAACATAAAGGAACGCTTAAAACAAACAAACAAACAAAACCACCAAAAAAACCCCCAACTATAGAAAACGCTTCAAGTTAGGCAGAACAGAAAGTTTCTAAATTAACTCCTTGCAGAGCAGGTTCTTTCTTTCAAATGTTTCTCTCTGTCCCATCCTATCTTTAAGATATTTCACCCAACTCACTATGCTTAACTGCACCAAAGTATGTTGCATTTTCCAAGGGTCCAGCCATGGCTGCAGCATCCAAGACAAGACAGAGGCACCATCTTCCCTGGCCCCAAAACAACACTCTGTATGTTTTATTACATACCATGCTCCAGGGGACTTAATAGATAGTAAACGTGAAGAGAGCAGGTACTACCCCTGCAAGTTGCAGGAGGCCCTACAGCTGCAGCTGCTTTGCCCTGCAGCAGTTGGTTGGATGCTCTGTAATTGCCTCCTTTGTCCTGTTTCAAACCAGCTGTCTGTCCAGGTAGGTGTTCATTAGAGGTGAATGTATTTGGCAATTTTATGTCTTGTGTTGACCTATGCAGGTAACTGAAGGCATGGTAGCAAATCCATAGCACATATTTGTAATCTATAAACGCCTACATTCTGAGTATTGGAAGATTCGTATCTATTGTGGTCACTTTATTGGGGATGCTAGAGCCTGTGTAATGTAAGGGGCGTAGGCAGTCACTTTGGAGATGGATGCAAGAGGCTGGTAATTTCACCTCAGAGCTGTACGCCCTCACAGATTGTGACCCAGGTTGTGGTCTGATGAAGTAAATACATTTTGTGTCCCATGTGTGGGTTGCATGAAAAGGGTGAATGAACACGCACGAATCCCACAAAGCACGTTTGCCTAATTTACTTAAAATTTCACCAGACTGATTAAAACAAAGCAATGATCTATATTTTATATGATATGAGTTAGGCTGCATTTTCAGTAAATCAATAAATTAGCAGATTCAAATTATCTGGTCACCAGGTTACCACAGCAGATAACCAGATCACATAATGAAAAAAGTAATTTTTTTAAGCTTATTGTGGAATGTGATGAAGGTCTAGTTTTCTTTTAACCTGAAAAACCCAGCTACTATTTAGCTACTATTTCATTGTCACCATTAACATGTCACTGGAGGACTTTGTCATTCCTAGGCATAGGTGGCTGTGGAACATTAGGTGTATATTTTGGTCTTTGGCCAGCTACGTGATCCAAGCAGACAAGAATTGTACCCACGCTCAGTTCAGCAAATGCAGTTAAACAAATATTTGTGTCACATCTTTAAATCTCCCTGTTAGTACACATTTCATGTTGTTCTTTGCCATCTCTATGCAGTTACACAGAGTATTTTGAAGATGATGACGGTTGAATCATCTCCAACAACAATTTCATTTTCAAAAATTTTAAAAGACAGTTCACCCTCCTCCTCTCTGACCATGGCTTAATGATACAATAAACCCAATATTAGGGCCCTTAGTATCAGACCATAACCCACTACCCAAGGTCTAGATCATCTTTCACTCATGCTGTCAGTTAAAATTTCTTTAAAATTTTGCTAATTTCTTACTGACACACTTAATGTGATTACAACTATCGCTCTCTGTGTGTCATTGTTACTATGCCAGATCAGGTATCAGCTACCAGCTGTTATAAAACTCATATGAACTCCAGTAATAAAAATGATGGAAACAGCTTCACTCATGCACTGCACACACTAAAATTAAGGCATTCTTTCACTGAGAAAAAGTTACAACATAAGTGGTTCAAGCAGCTGTTTAATTTCTTAGGATCTCTCTCCTTGAAGTCACTCTGGGATTTTACGAAATTACGTGTTCTTTCATAAGGGTGCAAGGCAGAGTGTGTAAGGGTCTTGGTTGAGAAAACAGCCCTTGCTCCTGGCTGACACTGCAAATGCAAGACCTCTATCAGTATGAATTTTATTTTACAAAAATAATTAAAATAATTGAAATTTCTTCAGCACAGTATCTCCTTACATCCCTTCTTTTGTTGTCAATCACTGTCATATTCTCAACATTTTTAAAGCACTCCAGATTTTTACTGTGGATAAATAGAAGAAGTAATAAGAGCCCATAGTTCATCTTGTTAGCTTTTGACCTAAAAACCACAAGACTGTTTGGCATTTTATGAGAGGACATTCCACTAATAGTTAAACAGTTTTCTTGTACCAGTTGTCAGGGGGATTTTAAAAAAACCTCCCATGTTCTCCTCTACGTGTGAGTGAATATTGAGGCTTGGGAAGATGTGGTGTGCTGTCAGTTTTGGTTGTAGTGTTTCAGGGAGGAGTGAGGAGAAGAATGGAGAGAGAAGCGGTAACATTGCTGTTTTAAGTTAGTACTTGGACTCCTGGCTACTTGTGTTCAGTTAGATTTCTGAAAGATACAACTGCTCCGTGTACTGCCTCACATCTCTGCTGCAAAGTTTGATTTTTGTGTATTAAAACCCAGCATTTTTCAACAACTGAAGTTTTGCATTATTGATTTGCCTTGGGAGACTGACATGTCACCCATGACCACACGGCAGGGTAGTATTTTCCTGTGCTGTTGTACCAGTATGTACTTCTTTCCTTTGTCATAGAAGCTGCAGGATGTGTTGATTCAGTAGAAGAACAAACCCTGTAGTAACTGCAAAGACTTCAAATCCTAACAGTCCCAGCCGGTTTTAGTGCTTGTCTTAGCTGAACTCAATAGAATGACTGGAGTTGCAATAGCATGTGCAAAGTTGTTCTGCCTTTAGTAAATCTCTTTCCTTTGGCTTCTCACAAGATGAAACATCATCTCAGCATTGCTGCAAGGCAAAGACACGTACAGGAAAGAGTAAAGCTTGTTTTGCTGATAAGAAGCTGCTTTTTGAAACAGAAGTAGACCCTCCTCTGAGTACGCGTTCTCTTCAAACATGTCATAACATCCTTGTTTCTAACGTCCATCCTGTCAATTCCTTCCCTGTTGATTTTGGCAGAAAGTTCAGACAAATCAAGTAACTGGTGACTAATCTCTAAGAAAGTAAGATCCCACTGGGAAAGCTGAGCATATCCATTAAAATGTTTCACAAGAAAACTCATCATGTTGGATCTGTATTTTCCTTGTCAGAGACTTTGAAAAATTCTGTGCCTTGATGAAGAAACTGTCAGTTGTCAATATCTAAAGTCATTGCATTTCAAATCTAGAAAACTGCTGGCTCTTTTATCCCACCAATGTAATTTGGCTTGTTCAATCTTCTTTCCTCTTTCTTTATAGGGTAAATAGCTCAAGTGAGTTGGTTCTAGGAAGGCACAATGGCTATACAACTCACATAAACGCTGTGCCTGAGTTCACACCGTATCAGCTATGTCTAGCAATAGGCAAGACCAATAAGTGACTTATGACACTGTCCAACAGATGAACAGGAACGTCTCACTGGTAGAAAGGAATTAACAACATAGCGCTGCAGTCCTCAGCTGTTTGGCAGGACACCCAGCAGACTGCATAGCCACTAGAAATGCAGGTCTTCAGCCAAGATATTATGTTTTCAGAGTCAAAGTTAAACCAAACTAAGCCCCCGTAAATTAGAAGGACCATCCAGCCTGCTTTACCTAAGCCCCTGCTATATGCTGTAGAGAAAGGATAAAATACCCAACTGTGCAAACCTGATGAAAGATCTTATGCTTTCACTTAGTCTATTTCATCCCTTGAAGGGTCAGGTGTCGTATTGCTGAGATTTCACTGGCATTAGGGGCTCTCTCCAAAAGGCAGGGAAATATAATCTAGTGGAGTACTGCAATGTGTACTTTCCCTCCGAATCCAGAACTTCTTGGCCCCTGGACTCATTATTCTCTTGAAGGAGAGTTAGGTGCATATAGGAAATGTAATTAATCCCTAAAATCAAGAATTCATAATTTCAACCCAAACTACACACAGGTAATTTTTTAGCAATTTATCATAATTCAAATCAGCAGTGATGTGGATCAAACCTTTTTCCTAGGAAAGCGCAGTAATTCATCCAAAACTGGTAAAACTGGGACTAGTTCAAGTAAAAACTGCTGTCTGGTATCATCAATCCAAATCCCAGAGGACAGGTCGCAAACAACAAAGAGCCTCCACAGGGAAGGGTAAAAGGTTAGAGATGACTCAATATTGCACTGCATCATTGCAAACAGGAAGAGGCTATTTCATAAATCATGGGTCATTTCCATAAGCTGAAAGCCTATCTGTATACAAACAGATCATTACAGCAAGGAATCACAAGATTTTCCATGTTATTAACCTTAAGCAGAGCACAAGTACAGGGCACGTTAAATCCTGCAAAAAGCTCTGTACAGTCTGGTGTAGACTAGAAACTTCTGGAAGAGCCACAGAGTATGATGATGTCATGAATACTCCCTTGTGTTTGCAATAACCTTCTCTTATCCTCCTGAACCTTTTCCTCTAATGCCTTAATCATTGTTGAGGCATTTCTCTGCCTTTAAATACATCAAATGCACTTCTTGCACGTGGCTCTGGAAACAGGTTCATTAAGCTTAATCCCTGCAGATGAGGGTGATGTGAATCTTATTCATGTTTGGAATTGCCAGTGTTTTGTGGAAGTGAAAACAAGAGGTTATCTGCAGTTTGTAGCCATTGGGAAGATGCCTCTGATCTTTTGCTTGAGTTGGTCACTAGGTTGCTCTATTTCTGCAAACAGAGAGGAATTTTACCTACTCTAGGAAATACTAAGGCCTCATCTGTGCTCTACTTCTGCAATAGTTCAAAAGATTGCTGGTACTCAGATGTTTGGGTGGTTTTAATTAAAGAACTTTAGATAGGAATTCCATTTTGAAAATAGTTTCCAAGTGGTAAATAAATGGAAATGAAGGACAGAAATTTTTTAATTTTTGTTCAAATATTTTAAAACTACTTAAAAATGTGTAGGAAGACTCTCAACAGAACATCAAATTCAGAATATAAATCACTATATATTAGAACATGATGCATTTTCCATCATTACTTACTACTACCTTTTATTGTGTACAGTTTCCCAACAGCTCTCCAGTCAACAACAGTCTGAACTACTTATACATGTGCAATTGGTCCCATGGGGAATTCCACTGATTTCAGAAAAGTTAATGACTATCTACTAATTACATGGCTTTAACTGTCACACTTTATTCCCTTGGATGTGAAATCAGATCCATAAAATCTATTAAGTGTCTACAGACCTTCAAAGATGAGGCAGAGCATTACCCAATGGTAGTAGCTGCAGCCTGCAGGCGCAGCGGGTGAGATGGGTAGGTCACATGTCTAACACTGAGCTACTATAACCTCTGCTCCCTCTGTAGTCAACAGAAAGGAACAGACATCTCAAGAGACAAATTTGCCTCTCTGCAACACAGGCACAAGAATTGAGCCCATTCCTACCTAAGTTACTCCCATAATTAACTATCTAGTCATTAACTGTTGCACATAGTGGGACTCCACATGAGAATAATTATACAGGCACAAATGCTGTTTGGGATCAGGCTCCTGCTAGCTTGTGTTCTGTAAACTTTAGACTCTTGAATTAGAATAAGAGGTGTTGAAATCAACCTTGGTATGTGTGAAGTCCTCTCTCCACAGAGTGCAAGGAAAGCCCACACTGAGACCAGGCACCTGCTGCATGTCTGAAGTTCAGCGAGATGACTTTCATTCACTGTTAGTGGCTTATGTTTCAATCCTTAATAAATGCTATAACACTGACAACTTATTCAATTATTTATTTCAAGTACTTTGGTCCTAGGCTAAAGTAGTTCCAAATCATCACCAAAATTGTTTCAAACCTGTCTTTCTAAATTTTGTTATTTTTGGTTATTCTTACCTGGAAGAATGAGGCTGGAGAGAAGAGAGAAAAAAAGAAAACAGTGAGAAAAATCTTTTCTAGATACTTCTTACAATTACTAACTAAAGATGAAGCGTTAGGAAATGTAGGAAGCAGTAAGGTCATCATGTTCAATATGCAGCCCATACAGTGTTTAAACATTAAAGCAATACATAAACGGTCTTAAAGCCACCCTCTGCTGGCGGAGACCCACCAGCACAGTGGGCCAGCAGCTACAGCTGCCTCATCAGTGTCAGAGCCAGCAGAGATTAACATCTCTGACACACATTTTGCAGCACCACAGAGTATCTGGCTACTCTGAAGATTCAAAGGTGTGACCCAACTGGTAGGGAACTGGGGAGATAGAAGGCCAAGGGACACCCTCTCTGCCCATTAGTGATTCTGCAACGGAGAGCTCTGCCATTCCCTCACTCCCCTCACAGCTGCATCCAGCCCAGGTTCCAGCTTATAACCATGGCCCAGGAGAGTCTGCCTCGAGGGAGATATGAAGATTGCTAACGCAATCCACATTCTCTCTGCTGCTCTGTAGGTAAAACTGGTGGGCTAAGAAACCACAAACCCGGCCTGAACACTGACTTGTATAACCACCTGTATGCAGTCACTATATTTAAAATTAGGGCTCCTTCTATGATTTTAATTTTCTAAATAAATAACAAAAAGCCACCTTATATTTTGGCCTCAGAAATGTGAACATATCTGATGATGTCACAAATGGGCTGTATAAAAATGGGTCAGTAGTTAAAGCCATCTCAGGAAGTTACATTTATCTACAGATGGCTTCCAATATAATCTATAATTATGAATGTATTAAAATTAGGGGAACGCTACAGACCCACTTTGATTCTCCTCATTAAAATGTGTCAGCTAGTTTTCCAAGAGATAACAGTTTTTAGATAGAACACTGTAGACGTAACATGTAAGAAGGGCTGGGTTTCTCAGCCTGATGATGGGTTTTTACACTGTTGTATTTTAGCTGTGACAGGTTGGTTCCCAGAAATACAGTGGGTCCCCATTTACAGGGCATTTGCAAAATGGCACTTGTGTCTTTGTAGTATTTGAGGAAATTGCTGTTTCTCCTCAGTTTAGGAAATGGAAAGTGCTACTTTGAAATTTTAAAATGCAAAGGTTAAAACTATGAATCTCAGCACGTGGAAAGCACTTTTTGTCAACTTTTTAAGTGTTATTAATCTGTCCCCTCTCCCTCCCGCCACCGCCTCAAGACTCAAGAAGGAAAGCAGGGCTCTTTCCTCCAAGCTTTCTTTTTTCTTCTTTATAATGATGGAATGCAGTAGCTGCAATTCTGAAGCCAGCAGAATCACCATCTTCACACAGCTAACATATGGAAATTGTCCTAGGGCTTCTGACACACTAAACACTGAGAGTTATGTGTGGGTGACAAGGAGATAGTAGATAAACAAACAAACAAATAAAAAGGATGGAAGACCTGTGTGTTGGCACACACCTAGCTAGAAATAAAATGATGACAAAAACCAAATGCCATTTGTCAATGGTGGACATGAACAAAATAATGCTTTGCTTTTCCTGCTGTGTCACTGACTGCAGAGCAGTAAATTCAGGGAAGACTGGAGTAGCCATCCCTTCGCATTCCACAGAGGTGTGAACATTATCTGGAGGTTGCACACATAAGGCACTACCACAGCAGTGGGAAAGCTCAGGGCACACATTTCCTTTGGGAGGAATAAGACTGGTACATCAAAGGTACCCAAGAGTGGTATTCACACCACAGAATGAAGCAGGCATCTTCCAAACTCAGTATCTTCCAAACCCAGCATCTTGGCTGACGTGATTTTTACCTAAATTTACCTTCGGATAACGGAGAACTGCCTATAGCAAAGCGCTGGGATATCTGAGATACCGTCAAACCCATGTAAATGAAGCTGCAACACCACTCAGAATGAATGGCAGCAATGTTATCCAACCCACAGAGCCACAACACTCAGAGTGTTGACAGAAACTTGTGAGAGACCTCACACATACCTAGTTCCATGGCCAAGCATATCACATGCCTCAATACTCATGAGTATTGACTCATGACAAGGTTAATCCACAATCAAACAACCTTCTCAAGAATGAGAGCTTAAAAGACAGATGTCATTGGACATTTTAACAAAATAATTAACACAAACTGTATTTGTTGGGGACCAGACATTCATGTCTGATTTGTTCTCAAGAGGGAACGGCTTCTCTATCCCACAAGTCTGTCAGCAAGACAAAGCTACTCTACTTTTCCAAGATTCTCCCAACTAATTTATATTTTATGAAGTGTTAGATTATGATTATACAATAATGTATACAAATGTATTTAAATATATACCTTTTATATGCATATATGCATGTATTTCCAGATATGTATTTATAAATATATTTACGCTATAAATGTACTTATAAATTACTGTATAAATATATTATTTATAATGAAAAGAAAATCCATTTATTTTCATTGGGCCTACTAAAAGTCCATTTCCTCACCTCCTTTTTTCCCAGGACATAGCACTGGGACAGAAGTTGCTGCAGTCACAATCTACCCTTTGACCCTGGAGGTCAAAGTAGCTTTCAGTGGGCAGGAGTTTGCAAGAGGCCAAATAGACCTCACTGATCTGAGCTAGTAAAGCTCATCCCTGCCATTCATCCCTGCTGAGACACAGTAACCACTTGGCTGCACAACACCCTCTGCCAATTCACCTGAGGACTGCGCCTGCCCGTACTTTGCATGTTTCTCTACAAAGGTTAGGAACAGCAACAATCTAACTCTTGGGAGATGCAATTGCTATTTTAGCTGACATCCGCTAAAGCAGAGCATGTAGTGAAGCCACTGCTCATTACTCTGAAACAGCTGCCACCACGTTGTCCTCACCAGAGAGCAACATTCACCATTATCAAAACGGAGGCAGGAAATCATATTTGCATAGTAAGAGTTCATGGCAGAGCAGCCAACTTCATTGGTAGCAGGAGGAAACTGGGATTAGCTTTTCATCTATTATACGTGGAACATTTTAATACCTAATTCTTTTGCAGACCTACTCTGCCATTAAATATAAAATTATATTTGGCTATGTGTGCAGGGGTAATGTATAACTCCCCAATTGTAAGAATTAGTTCCATCATAGGAAAATATATTGGTACTCTCAGTAAGAAAAAAAACAAACCCGAACTTAAAACTGTTCCAAGTCTTACTCCAGCTCTCTGTTCACGCTGAGATTTGTCTGGACTACAATGAACTAGTGCTGCTTACAGACGACAGGGTTTCTTGAGCTGCCGCTGCCTGGTCAGGTTACATGCAGCAAAACCACAAAAAGGCTGCGTCACAAGACCTAACACAGAAAAACGGTTAACAAAAGCACCCATGTGTACAAGGGAAATCCTTCTGCTTCTCCCCCCAAAACTGAAGTGCATCCTTAAATGCACAATTTAATGAAAAGAGGCTTCAACAACAAGCCCAAGGACTTCTGGCTTCGTCATACATTTGGCCACCTGGTTTTTGTGCTGTGTTGCAAATGCTCTAAACCAGCTCACAAACCTGATTCAGGCTTTATAAAGCTGCAGTACTGCAAACCTCCTCCACTTCTACCATGACCCACAGAAAAGCACACACAGGGACTGTGTCAACAACTCAGTAACTTGCTATGCCACTCCAGGTAGTTGCACTGGCACAAAAGGGAACAGTGTACTGCAGCACGGGAAGGCAAGCAGCAGATGGTAACACCAACTCCTTAAACTAGCAGTACCATCACAGCCTCTGCATCGTGCAACCAGACTGTTCAAGAGCTCAAAGCAGGGAGCTCAAGTAATACACCTCCTAGGAATGCATGACCAAAGAGGCTCCACTGGAAAAAAAAAGGGCTCTGATACGCATGAAACCAGAACCTGACGGTATGACTGCCTTGAGCAAGGCAGAGTAAGTCACCAGCTTCACACCTCTATGCTCCTTTAGAAAAACCTCTCCTGTCCTGCAGGACATCAGACCTATTAAAGACAAAGAACGTATCCTTCTCACCTTGCAAGCCCTAGGTCTTGTGCATGCAAAACAAGGCACAGCAGCAGTTCTGGGTCACGCAACTCAGCAGGTAAAGTGACCAACCCTAGTGTGCCAGTCCCTAACCTGCTGCAAGAGCAGAGCAAGACTTTTTTTTTCCATAAAACTGTGCACTAGGAAATCAAAGGCTAAAAGAGCAGCCATTGAATTAATGAAGCAGGAGGCTTGTGCAAACCTAACCTACACGGACTGCAGCCCAGACACTAACGTTAGCTACTCACTAGCACTCCACTAAATTATATGCTTAGGACACTGCATGTAAATAACAACATGGAGCAAGTGAAACCATGTGAGCAGAAACTTGGCCAGGAACTGTGATACTCACTGTGGTTGCCAGTTTTCCAGGAAGAGGCACTTGCAAAAGAAATGGCAAACCCCCCACACCCCCCCAGAAATAATGAGGTGGCCATCTAGTGACAATGTACTGAAAAGCTAAAAGTTTGGGTAAAAAGACCAAAGAAGAGTACAAACCTAGGGAATTCCGGTATAGCCACTATCAAATGCTGCTGTCCCAGGAGTTGTGTGCTTTTTCACTTACCCAAAGGAAATGGTTTGTGTACATTAAGGAGTGCTCTGACTGCAATACCGTTGCATAGGTATTCACCTGCCCAAGCTAGTGTTTTAAGCTGAATAATACAGGAATCAAAATAAAATGTTGCACCACTGCATCCAAATAGCTGGAGAACCTGAGAACACTTGCATGCATAATCAGAGACTCCAGCCTAACAATTTAGTTGAAGGACTTTTGAAGGACTTTTAAAGAAAATAAATAATGGTGCATCATTTGACATAAAACTATAGTTGCTAAAATTAAATTTTAACCTCTGGTTATGGCTATCACTCCCCCTGTGTGTAACACTTTTCACCCACACCCTCACAAAAATAGGGACAAGGAACAGCACTGGAAACTTGCCATAACTAAAGGCTCACATTGCTCTTGTCATAGGAGTCATCATTTCCTAAAATGTATTGTTTCCACTAAGGTATTTTTAGTGAGCTTTTAATTTCAGTAGAATTTATGTGACCCTTAAAAAATCCTCTGCTGCCTCTTCCCTCCATCCCCTTTTTATTATTTTGAAAGGAGTAAGAGCTAGTACCACGGTCAATGATTTGTCAGGTCACGGACTGCTCACCTGGCACAGACACATCAGCTGAGCAGTATCGGTTACCAACTCAGGTTTACCACTACACAACAAAAATAGACCTTTCCATGATTAGTGGCAACTGAGTGAGGTCCAATCCAAGCACAACTTTAGCACGATACCCTCACCTGCTTTATGCAATACCAGGGCTTGATCATGCTTTGTGCTGCAGAGGGCAGTGCACACACAAAGCACATCTAAACACGCAGCCCGAGTGTTTCTTGTTCCACATGGAAGCACTCAGGGCACCCATCGTGTATATTAAAACTACAACAGTGGCAGCTAAAGGATTTATGCTCAGCTCTGGAGCCTGTCTGAGTCATTTTCTGTGCAAGTCTTCAAAAACTTGTGGGTGGGGAAGGCTCATCTTCACTGCAGTGCTGCCATCAGCCAGCTGGCTTTGCAGGAGGCGGACCAAGAAATGCTATTGTTCCAGGAAATACTATTATGTGACAAAACTTGAAGCTGTTGGGGTGCTTCTGAACTGGGCAGTGGCACATATGCTCTTAAGAGAAATGTGGTCTGCTTACAGCCCTATAGTCTTCAGTGGTCATGTCACACCATCCCACCTTAAGAGATATATTCATGTGCAGCTAAGGAACAGCCATAGAACATTTTGAGTCTCCTTGTGTTTAGCAAGTTTTCCCCATTGCTAGTGTGCCTTCCCAAAAGGGAACTTCCCACAACTGGAGTCCTGGAGTCTCTTGTACTCAAACTACCTACAGTTTTTCACAGTGTCCTAACACTTTAAAGTCCTGCACGTTGTGATGATCATCTCCAGTATCTACAATGAAATCAATTTCCTGTTTCAGTATTAGCTCTCTTTTCAACTCAAGATTCTTCTCTCTAGCGAGTTCTTTCAGATACCAGATCTTATGAACCCAGGGACCTGCAGTAGCTTGCACACCCTTTCCTGTTGTGTAACTGCTACTGAACTGCTGCCATGTCTTGGTTGAAGAACATGTTCACACTAACTGAAAAGGTTCTTGACTGCTCTTAGAGCACTCTTCTTCTGCTGAAAGACAAAAAAAAAACAAAACAAAAAGGTAACACTTCATAATTAGTCACTAGAATTATTTCTAGAGCAGCTTTACCAACTCCTTTTGCTATGTGGGAATACTAGGCTCTTCCAGATACTTCCTCCCCACAATTTTATTGAGAACACTTAAAAAAGACATAGAAGCCTTCCAGTCTTTCCTGGTTTTCAAAGCTCTCCCTGTCAAAGAACAAAGACAACACAATGTATTCTGTGCTATGATTAAGATACTTGGAAACAGTAACACGATATAGAAGTACTTACCTATTCTACCAAGTTAAATTCACCCTCTCACTTTTCAACTTGCAGATCCAGCTATTTTTGTGAAATAGCTCCATGGGAGACAACTGCAACCAACCAACCAACTTTCATTGCAGCTTCTTCATCCTCCATCATCTGAGCAGTAAAGAGTTAACACCCTTCCACCACAGGCTTTGAAATAAGCAGCTGGGACTGTAGACAACCAAGTTTTATAGCTGGCATACTTAAGAAAATTGGATTTTAAAACAAAACTCACATGCTAAGAGTGGCATAGATGGTATCAATCATCCTTACAAACTACATTCCACTAATGCTAATGTGCATACTAGGAATTAGATTAGGTCTGACAGTGAGTTTGCAAGAACCAAGACAACCCCAAGACGCTGCCAGTTTTCTGTGCTGCGCTGCCATGGATGTTGACAGTGTGATATTATAACACCAGACAACTTATAAAAATTACATTATAATCTGTTTGTACACTTCATCTCGAAATCTATCTCATGCAGACTGCACAGCTGGCTTAGTACAGTACCCAGTGACTGCTCAATTTAGAGCATCCAAACCCTTGATGTTTTCATTAAGAGAAAACTTGTCAGAATGAAAGCTGTGACACAAAGACAAGTTTCTACATATTAACCTAAACTTTGATTAAGCAATTTCTTCTTTAAGTCATCACACATTTCTACTTATCCGCATCTTCCTCACACCTCCTGCAGGATCTTTCAACTCTTTCTCCGGGTCTTCAGGAAACTGGGTGGCTGCTTACCTGAGTCCACAGTGATAAAAATCACTTCAAAGTGATCACTAGCAAAGAAAATCCATAGCTTTTGCAGTGTAGGATGTCAGCATAGTAGTGCAAGTACAGACAAACATATCAGCTTCATAGGCTGAGGACCAGACACACACCAGAGTAAGTTTCCATTAACAGCATTAAAGTAGAGCACACCCACGTGTTTAGGAAAAGCCAAAGGCAGGCTTTCAATTCTATCATCACCTTGTATATTTTCATATGAAAAGCCAACAAAACGCTTATTTCTGCAATAGGACTGTAAGCTTCTTGTGGGTCTTGCAACGAAGATCTGTTGGGTCAGGAGAGACTTGTGCATTAGCACTTTCAGGTGAACAGAGTATCCGAGTTTGACACATAGAAAATAGGTTTCATGATTAACATTTCTAACAACTTGTCAACAATGAGTAAAATCCATACACTGACAAGTATCAGACAGCACCAAGCTGATTGAAGTGAACTACACACACAGAGAAAACTGTTTTACTTGTCTCTTTCATCAGGCATTCACTTGGGTAGTTTCTGAAGTAATTTCCTTTTTCCTACATTTTGATACGCTATAGCAACTCTTTGCTGAGACATCAGGGAATCTAGAGATAAAGAAACAAGGTATAAACAACAGTAAAAACAATGAAGTAAAACTTCCTGCAAAGTGAGGTGCACTGCAACCTCCTCAGAGCAGCAGCACTGACTCCAGTGAGATGGGAAGGGAGAGAGGAAAACCACTGTAGGTAAAAGCAATTGTTTCTAAACCAGTTTAAGGAACAAAACATACTGTCATTAGGCCAGCAGATCATCCTGGATGCAGATTTCATATACGTGTTTGCTGCCAGTTATAGAAAAGACAATTGAGCTTACCCTAGATTATTCCACTGCAATACTTACCATCAGTACCAGGTATCAGCTGCATAGATATAAGCACAGGGCTAAAACCTACTGTGGACAACTGTTGTAACTGTGAAGTCATCATGCCACTGCCCCTTTATTTCACTCACAGTTCACCTAATCTATTCACATAGAGAAGAAACAGAAGAAGGGGCTGTACTTGTAATCCAGAATTCTTTAGATATACAGAACTATTAATGAAAGGTACAGCAGCAACAGACCACTTCAACCCCTCTTTTTCTTCAGTCATGAATATGGCAAAATGGGACAACTTGGCCATGAGGAGAAGCATTCATGGGACATTGGACTTTTTACAGGATGGCAAGCAACTGGTTCTGACTCTTTAGCTGGAGAGAGACGCATGTAAAGCCAGAGAAGAATGGCACACACTGCTGTAATACCAGCAGATCTTGAAAGGCTGTAATGTTCAGGTGAAGTAAATGCATCATAGAACATCTCACAACATCCTCCCTCCCCCACTCGAGTGTCTCCTGGGGCAAACACGCTACCTGTGTAGTTATTATGAGACAAAAACCTGAGAAAATACATCCTACTTACCTCCAAGAGAAGCCAAAGTATGAAATAAACCTCACAGACTCACTTGTCCTGAGGTGTACCACCACTGGACTTTAGCTAAGACATCAAGCAAGCCTGCAAAACTCTTCACAACTCTTTTCAATTGAATATCTTCTTGAGGTAATAAAGTGCTTTATTTCACAGGAACCACTTGTAGCTAGAAAGGGTATTATTTCACAAGCCACGCAATACCTTGAGCATCCTCCTGTCCAGTTTACATCAAAGGTCTTCTACACATCGTTTCAGGGAACTCTGGTCCCCTTAAGCCTAACAGAGTTTTGACTACTCTCTCTTTTGGTGAGCCGATTATTTCCCATTCCCCAACACAAAAGCCTAGCAAAAGCAGGGATGACGTTCAGTACAATTAAGTCTAAAACCTGCTGGTCAAAATTCTAGCCTACCTCCTAGATGCCAGCCAGAAGGTATGTTGAAACTAAGACAGAACCTAGTCAGCTGGCTAAGCCACGCCAACACTAGACAGCAAGCACAGGTAAGATAATGGGCAAGCAAGTTAGCTCAACTGCTGAGATGTCTCATCTCATCCATTCTCTCAGCTTTTTCAAGGCTGATTTACGCCTCTATGGACACAGGGTCATAGGTCTGGGTTAGAAGGGACTCTAAAGACCACCGAGTTGCAACACCCCTGCCATAGGCAGGGGCACCTTCCACTAGACCAGGTTGCTCAGAGCCCCATCCAGCCTGGCTTTGGGATGAGGCAGCCACAAGTTCTCCAGGCAGCCTCCTATGCATCACCATCCTTGAAATAAAAAATGTCTTCTTTATATCTAATCTAATTCTACCCTTTTCCAGACATACTGAGGGTAGCTGCCTCTAGGAGGAAGCAAAGCTCCTCCTGCTGGTCACACTAAGCCCCACGTCTACGACAGTCAAACACCATTAGTGCAATTATCAGACATCAGACAGAAGCTACAACCCTGAAAAAAAGCCTCAAACCAGCAAACGCAACCTGTCACCTGGCATGTGATAAGGGCATGACCCAGCCTGCTCCCTTCTGACGGCCTCCCCCACCAAGGGCAGAGCTGCTCTTTAACCCCCGGCCCTTATTTGGTCCCATGGCCAAGCGCCGCGGTTGGCACAGCCCCGCACGGACCCCTCTCCCGGGACAGCACAAGGGGCACAGCCCCTAGAGCCACCGGAGCCGCCCCGGCAACTGCGCTGCACAGAGCGGCCTACCCTGCCCGCCCGGCACCGCCCCCGGCCGGGACCGCAGCAGCCTCGCCCCGACCTCCGCCCGGCACAGGGCCCACCACCGGGGCGTAGGGGCCCCGCCGAGCCCCGGCTCAGCCCCCCTCACCCCGCCCTCTGCCGCCACGGAGAGGCGCTGCCCCGAGCAGAACCGGCGGGCACGGAGAGACACTCAGCCATGTCCTTCAGGGCCCGCCGCCGCGCCCCTCCGGCCGCTCCTCAGCCTCCCCTTCCTCCTCACCCCCTCGCACACAAGCTCTTGCTTGCCCCTCAAACCGAGACCTAACTCCCTCCCTCCGCCCTTTTCCGACATCTTAACCCGGCTCCCCGGCCGCTCCTCCCGAGCCAAAAGCGTCCCACGCCATCAACATGGCGGCCGCCACCGCATCCTTCCCCACCCCTCCCGCTCCCTACGGCGGCTGCCCGGCGCCAGGCCTGCCGGGAAATCGAGTCCTCGAGCCGTGCGTGGCCGTGCTATGGTTTCTCCAGAAAAACTACAGAACCCAGAAGATCCCGCGCCTGCAGGGCGTCAGCCAATGGCGAGGCGGAGTGGCGGCCGGTGGCCCCGCCCCGGCGTGCTCTGGGGTGATGTCATTGCCCAGCGGGGCCGCGGGGGCGCGCCGCGCGCCGCCGCTCATTGTGCTCCGCCGGTGCCGCCTCCGCCGCCGCTGCCGGACACGGCGGGGGGACCCGCTCCCGCTGCATTCCCGGCCGGGGCCGCCCTGCTCCCGCTCCTGCACCGCCCGGGGCGCGCTGCCCTGCTCTTGCACCGCCCAGGTGTGGGCTGCCCTGCACAGCACTGTGGGCGGCCCTGCACTTATCCCCGAAGAGGGCTAATTTGAGCCGAGCCCCGCTGCTCCTATCCAAGGGATCCTGGCTCGAGGGTGGCTCGGCATCATCCCGAGGGGCTGCGCTGCTCGTGGAGTGAGCACCCGTTCACGAGCGGGACTGACTTGCGCCTAAGCCCGCTGCGCCCATCGCGGAGAGCTGCCCTGCGCCGGGTAGGGGGCTGGCACCTATCCCAGCGGACTGCCGGGCACCTATCCCAGCGGACTGCCGGGCACCCATCTCCGGGGTCAGCACCTACCACGGGAGTGCGGGGACTGCAGCGCTCCCAGCCCCGCTATCCCCGCCGCGGGGCGGCCCCGGGCTGCCGCTTCTCCCGTCACCGCTGACCGGTTCCTGGCTCCCACCTCGTTTCATGTTTGTGGATAGGGAGGAAAAATCCCAAACCAGGTTAGTTCTCCACTCCTCTTCTCCTTTTTTGTGTGTATTTTTCCTTCTTCTTTTACCCCCTCCCCGCCAGGTCCCCGTCTCCCGATGCGCTTCCCCGCACTGTGTGTTCCCCAGCGGGGAGCAGCGCTGCCGAGCGGGGCTGCGCTGTCGGTCCCCGGCTCTGCCGGAAAAGGCGGAATGGGGGAGAAGGAAGGGGAAAGACCCCTAGCTCCCTAAATGGTGTTATCCGTGGGGGATGAGTGCCTCTCGCTGCCTTTCGGCCCCTGCGGCAGCCCCCGGGAAACTCCCTCAACTCCGGGATGCTCCGGGCACCCTGAAGCTGCGCGGTCCCGAACCTGGGGCAGCGGCGGGGAGCCCTGTCTTGTTTGTCTCCTGCACTGGATAACAGCGGAAAATAAGACAGATTTTGAATTGCTATCGCTAAGCACTACTAAGGACCCAGGGCTCCTGGGGACAAAATAAGTACGGGGTGTGTTTTAGGATGGTTTTTGGGGCATTGGTGTGTGCTGTCGTGTGGCTTCTGTGTTTTGACACCTCTGTTCCTCCCTTCTTTCAGGGAAATGGGGGAGATTTGAATCCAACTGGCTCTCAATCCTGGCTGCTTGCAATTGGTCCAGGTTTCTTTTCCAAGTCATATAATGAGTTTGTGTCTTAAAAAATGTCGGTTGGACAGCCTGCTGGTGTATTTCAACTTCCAAACAACTACTCTGACCTTTTCCACTTTTGTCATATATGCAAGAAGTGCCTATATTTTAAACTTTACTGTAAAAACTTTGTGGTCCAGCAGAGCTTCATTTTAGTGTGGCTTTTTATTTGTTTCCCTGTTCTTTGCTGTTTGTGAGGTGCAGTTTAGATCTTTGCTTGAACAATGCTAAGATACTAGAGTAATATACTAGATATATTTTTATTAGTAGATAACATCAGAAGGTTTATCCCCTTTTATTACTACGTGACTCCTGCAGTTGCTGGTGGAGCCCAGACATCCCACTTTGCAGTAGTGGCAGGGAAATGTGTGCACACAGAGGGGTCCTGCTGACCTCAAATCTGTCAGTGTTTCTCAGTGTCCTTTAAAGTTAATCCACTCCAAAGCCCACTTGGAGGCTGTTCTGAGAGTAGGAAGAGAGAGTGCAGCTGAGCTGATATTTTTAATTTCCCCCCCCCTCTGCTGCATATTTGCTTCTGCGCTTCTCTTGTATAACTGGCACCGTGTGTCCTCTGGCAGGGCTCTCCCTGGAATTGCAGTGCTGGGGAGCGGGTGACATGAGCGCAGCGGGGACAATAAAACTCCCTGTTTGGTTTGCTTGAAGTGTTTGTAAACACCGAGGCAGTGTTGGGGTGTCCGTATGCAATGGATGGCATTTTACAGCTTTCCCTCCTTAAGTGGGATAAACATGCTGCATCCACATCTCCTCCTCGCATTTATTTTAGCCGTGTTTTTTCTTTCCTTCCTCTTCATTACTGACTCAAAGGGAAAGAAGAACAGCACATGCAGGCATTGCCTTTGGTTGGTCTTTTTAAAACATTTTTATTTCCTGGAATGGTGTTTTCCTCTTTATTTTACAAAGGAGGAATGGATGATCTAATAGAGGGTTTCCCATCTTGGCTGTAAAAGGAGAAGTTTTATAGCAGTGATTTTGTCAGCCTGGGATACAAGGGTGGATAATTTGAAAGTGTAGATTGGGAATTGTTCTGGGAAATATTGATACAGAAATTGATGAGAACAAGCAAGGAATCCGTGGCCAGGAATTTTGTATTTAAGTAATACAATCTTATATTATGTTTTCATCTTTCCATATGCATGTATCTTTACAAATATATATTGCTATTTATGCTCATTTTGTTTGGTTGGGTTTTTTTTTTTCAAAAATTATTACATATGTTGGACTTAGAAAGATTTGTGCCAATGCGTGCATGCATTTTCCAGCTCCATTATACTATAACATGAGGTGGATTAAAAACGTACCTCAGAAATCTACACTATTATTCAGGTGAAACTTTGCCTTGCAGCAACTGAAACATAGGCACATAAAAAGAGGCCATAAGCTAAAAATCACTCAATAGATAAACGATTGCTGTGAAAAAGTACAGATGAGCTAGGGAGCCCTTTTCTTGTCCTGCAAAGACCTAAATGCAATGAACATGTTTACTGTGATACAAGAAGTCCCCAGGATGCCAGTTACTGAAAATGAAGAGGATATCCCAGGAAGACAGCACTAAATATTTCCTCAGGTCTTTTACTCTTTCCTTAATTTCTTACTAGTGTCCAGTTTCTGAAGGGAGATTCAGAGCAAGGTGGTCTCATGGTCATACTCTGTAGACTTTAGTTATATTTTAGTCCTGTTCTTAATGAAACCCAGTATGATGCCAGTGATTGACTTTGTAGTAATGCCAGAAATTGCATCTTTGTAAATTGGTTTTATTGGCATCATATATTTGCCATGCACTGCATTAAATTGCCCATCCCAGAACTGTTGCAGAAAGAGATTTAAGCTGCCCTGGCATGTGGGGTGTCATCCAACCTCATGTACAGAGGGACCCAAAGATGTGGTGATGTGAGATGTGGGGAACTGGGAAGAGCCAGGTCTGGGCCAGACTTGCTAACTTTTAAGCTTAATTTTCTTCTTTGCTCCAGAGGTGGGCTATGAGAGGACAGTGATTTCTGTAGCCTTGAGTTGGGATCTGGCAAGGCAGCTGAAGTTCCTGAAGCAAGAGGTGGATGCCTGAAGGTGGCTCTTCAGGGAAGAACTGAACAGTCCCAAACAGGCATGGGGAGGGAAGGTGCGAATGGCGGAGTAGGAGAAGGGTGTTTGCAAGCAAATGATCTCCATTTGTCACCTTGCTGTGAAAGAGCTTTCCTTTCCTCTGTTGGCAGATCTATGCTGTGTGCTTCCTGTCTTCCCAGCCCAAGCTACAGGTGGTAGATATAGCTCACAGCTTGAGCTGGAGTGTTGTGGTTCTCTAATGGAACCTGTAGAGAGCTCTTGGTTTCAGCTCTGGAGCTGCTCTTGTTTTGTCCTCAATGAGATAGCCAAGCTGGTATCCATCAACTGGCAAATTAAGGTGCTTGTTCTAAGTTTTGTGCCGTGTCCCAGATGGGTGTATCTGCAGCTGGTTTTTTGTGGGTGTGATAGATTTGTTGGCATTTTCTTATTTTTACATAAAATGCAGCCAACAAAGAGATTATAGTACCTGGGAACTAGATCAATTCCTTTTCTAATTTTAAGGCGTATTGAGTTTTTTTTTAGGACAGGACCAGCAGGTTTGAATGCAAGCCTTGCTCTTGGTGAGTACAGAAAGAAGAGTGGGAAATGTGCTAGGAGCTAGTTCATGCGTATTGTCAAATAACCACCCAGGCAGTGTGAAAATTCAGGAGATTCATTGCAATTATGTGGCTGGCATGACAGCAGTGTGGAAAGTAGCACAAGATAGGCATACCTCGTGGTGACAAAGCTGTTTAGATATTGATGCTTGTATGGATGCTTGTAAAACTTTGGAACAGAAGATTTAGGAGACAGTAAAATCATCTTCTGTATTATGAATGGGTTTCTCACTCCAAAAGCATCAGCTCAGTTGGAGAGATCTTGGGGCAGCCCTGCTTTGGCTGGAGGACAGATGACATGACCTAAGGCAGTGTTTTGATTGACTCTCTAGTTTCCACGATTTCATTTTGCAACAAGCCATTTAGTTTCCTACTCCCCCCCAGAGTGATTCTGTCAATAACTAACTAAATTCTCATTTTAGTTTTAATGGCTTTCTTAGAGTAGGAAAGAAGTGATCTGTCATGTTTGTCATGTAATCCTGGTTGGTCTGTGC